GGAGCTAATGAAGATCATTTCAGAAATGATAGATCTAAGACCCCATCCACACGACGCCGGAGAAACTTGACAGCGCAGCTTTATTTCTACAGTTAGGCCTACCGTCCACACTAATCCGTCACAAAAACGGAGCTTTTCGAAACGCTCTTTAAACCGGAGGAATTTGAAAACGCCGGCTTTGAGTTTTAGTGCGGACGGAAAACATTTTGAAAACGGAGTTTTTTGAAAACGATGACATCACGATAATTATATGATTTTCCTGCCCGAGTTTTCCTCAAACACAAATCCAGAATGACCGGTGATTGTTGCATTTTCAAATTTCCCCGGCATAGTGTGGACGGAAAACATTTGATGCGTTTTCATAGTGAACATGCCGTTTTCAAATTTCTCCGGTTTAGTGTGGACGGGGCCTAACCCCGCTTCAAATCCAGGGCAAGAGCTCCCACAGGGAATCGACACAGAACAAGTAAAATAATTTTGACACAGACAAAGAGGCCAATGTTATTGTCCTCTTTTCTTCCGAAAGACTAATCTCCACACCTCACAAAGACTGTTTAAAAAGCTTAAAAGTGAACTGAGACACCCTATCAAAAACAAAACTAACAAAACAAGTTAGTTACCCTGAAAACAAGCTTTAAAAATCAACACTACCCATGAATTTACTCCTTAATAATATTCCGTGGTAACACGTGTAATACTTGTGTAATTTATGCAACAAGTGTAGCGACAAGTGGAATAAATACATTCGGGATAAAAACAGCTTACCTTGCGAAACAGATCCAGCCGATCAAAAGTCCCCAAACTAACGATACAACCAAACGTAGCTGTGGAGAAACTCTTTTTGGATGTAAGACAGCGCGATAAACAGCTCCCAGTGGAATGCACAATAACATGCAAAATATAAACCGAACCTAACAAGGAAGCACAATAATATCTCATTTGCAATCAACATATCGATTATAATCATTCTATGAATTAATCGTGGATTAAAACATAATTTTCGAAAGTGAAAATAGCATTTTAAGGGGTTTATGATAGGTGTCTCGACGACGAAGAACGGAGTTTTTAAAGAGCAACGCGGAGAGAATGTTCTATGAATAAACCAGCAAACTTTTTCAAAGATTTCGTTCGACCGCTGCGCTCCGTTGTGGCTTAACTCAATTTAAGTCGACATGACCATGAAATTTGCTTCATTTTCTCATGCTCCTGCAATACACTATCGGTTTAGCAAACACAACGTAGACAGAAACTGTTAAAAATCGGACAAGAGCACGATCATGTTGGGTTTGAATTAAGTCTAATTCAAAAGAAGCACTAGTCTGAATTGAGCTTTCTACTACGGGTTACGTGTGATTGGGCAGCACTCACCTGATCCACAGGCACCTTAGTCAACGTTGAAGCCCGTAGAAATACTTCATGTAGTAGATAAAACATTATGGCCCTTCAGAGCTGTCCTTTTGATGCTTACAGCTGTTAAATCGAGTTGACCTTCTCCTCGTCTGTGAATGGACCGGTCAGCTCCGTAACGCATGTAACGCACTAGTAATTCTATGAAATAAAATAATTTATTCGAATCGAGAAAGATTAAAGACCTGATTGGTTTTGTTGTATTTTCGTGTTGGACGCACATGTAATCCGTGACAACAATCTGTTCTTCTCGACAACCTTCAAGTACTGAAAGGAAAGTATAATTGTTCCGTTTGAACTGATGAAACTTGGCTTCTATCAGAAAGGATATTGCTTGATATTGTGCTGGCAGTGTTGAAGAAAGATCTTCTCTTTACCTTTCAGAGTCTAACTCTAGCGGACTGCTATGAGAATTTGAAATAGACGATAAGAATTGAAAAGTATGGACTTCTGCGAAATATGGTCACAGAAATTATATGGAAAAACATTAAGGTAAGAAATGATATATCAGAGAAAAAAAATTTCCATGCTTCATTTGGGAGTTAAGTGCTTATGACGTGAATGCAAATCAAGGTTATATTTTGAAATCCTTTCGGCCTAGGCACCAGGTAACCCTCTTGCACGAAACAAGTTCACAAGTGACGCAATGCAAAGTATTGCAAGTGATGTTTGAAAGTTAATAAAAGCATTAAAAGCACTAAAACAACAACAATTTCACAATGCCCGAAATTAATTTTTATAATTTTTTGAGGTGATTTGTTTTTATATGGGGTCACGCAACTCTTTTACAAATTATCCGCATGGCTTTTTTCTTTGTTTGTTGTTTTGTAAATCTGCCATTAAATTGTAATAAAATAAAAAAAAATAAGTAAATATGGTTTAGTGTTGAAATCGATTTACAAACGCTTTTATAAATTGCAGTAAAAACAAAAACGTTGACTTCACAATTTTATTATTCCAAAAATAGTTATTTTCAAATCTGGCATACTCAATGACCTCAATCTACAGTTTTCTTGATATCTAGTAAAAAGGAAAAATTACTTCAAGAAAAATTTTAAAATGGCTCTTTGTGGAGCCGTTCAAAATGGCTCTTTTCTTTTCGCTTTGATTCTTTTGTCACTGTTTTGTTGATGGAAAATTGTGAATGGAATAAAAGCCATAATCGTGGATTTCCACGGTGCATATTTAAACTCAACCAAGATGTGGCTTTTCCAAACCACGATACGATCCCTCATATCATTAAGTCCGTTTTGGTTTGAAACCTCTTGGAATGTTTTCTTCCAAGCGCTGTTGCCCGAATCATGAGCATTAGCTAGCATTATGCCCGACAAATTTCACAATTTCTGTAACTGTGGGAACCATGAACGAGGAACCATGTAGTCAGTTGTAACATCTCGTTTTAATCTAGCCTGTGAACGTACACCTTTTTCAGTTAAAATTGCTGTGCTAAATTTCATTTACCTTCGGGTGTCTGGAAAACCCGAAAGGCGAATAGCAAATAGCGAATAGTCCCGAATAGTGTGAATAGTCTCGAATAGAGCGAATAGTGGCGACCAGTCGCGAAAAGTGGGGAATAGTGACGAATAGTCGTCAATAGTCACCGCTTTAAGGCCTGTCCAAACGGGAAATGTTTGGCGACCAAACACCATCAAACATTGTTTGGTGACCAAACATTTTACCGTTTGGCCACCTTGTTTGGTGATGTTTGATTGGGTTTGATCGTGTTTGGTCGTGTTTGAAAAAATTTGAAGGCCATCAAACATTCGATCAAACAACTTAAAACATTTCTTTTGTTCTCGCGTTTGATGGGAGATGTTTTGTTCGTTTGGACAGCCATATCAAATATGTTTGACGCGCGCAAGCGTCCCAAGCTTGCTCACCGGCTTGTATTCATAGTTTAATCTGTGTTTGATCAAACATGTTTGGCCACTCACTTCCACATCAGCATTGTTTGGTCACCAAACAATGTTTGATGATGTTTGCTCGCCAAACATTTACCGTTTGGGCAGGCCTTTAGATCTAATATCCTGGGTTAATTAATTATCCAAATAAGCAACAGAATTTCAGTGAATTTTATTAGCTTTTCTTCTCCGGACTCAGGCTAGGGCTGTCCATCGCCGGCATTAAGAAAACAAAAAACACAAGGATAACCTAATAAAGACGTATTTATGCTTTTGCAGTGGTTAAAGAAGAAGAAATTACGTTTAGAAACACCTTTTGTCCTGATAAGCGTCTGTGCTTTTTTAGCGGGAAAATCCTATCCTACGTTGCTGCGAGGTTGACTGCGAGATACTGGGAACTCTATTTGCCACGATTTACCACCATTTGCCACTATTAATTTGCCACTATTCGCCACTATTCGAGACTGTTCGCCACTATTCGCACTATTCGTGCTATTCGCTATTCGCTATTCGCTATTCGCTATTCGCTATTCGGGACTATTCGCTGTTCGCTATTCGCGACTATTCGCAATATCCCTATTCGGGTTTTCCAGACACCCTTTACCTTCCACGTTTATCTTGCTCTTGTAGCTTGCCTTTGTTGATGTTAGCTGATGATTTCGTAAGCTACGCGTCTTCGTAACATCCTTTCTCGTTCTGATTCTCCAATGCTTGATTTGCTTTAACGGTTAAAAAACATCCACTCTGAATATTTCCACCAAGTCATGACATTTATAAACGTTTTGCCTAAAGGTCATTCCTTGAAAACATCACAAACTGGAACATTCTTACAGCCCGTCACGCACTCCTAGGAGGAAAGATTGCGTGACGAGCCCGAAGCACTACAGCTGCTCTACATTCTTTAGCTTTTAGTATACCGCTCCGTAGAAATGTGAGACTGATGACAGATAAATTGTACACATAAACGACACTCAGTTCTGAGGTTCTACTGTGAAGAAGCCTCCTTTGAACTCCATCTTACCTTTATTCCACAACGATAGAATATAAACAGGTCCTCTTTGTACGTGGCGCGCGGTATTTTCATGTTTCAGCATGTTTCAGGGTTTAATGTGCGTTGAATAGTTTTTCGTTCAAGTATAAGCCGGTTAGCAAGTCACTCTATTAATTATGGCAACATAAACAAGGACGTGAGCTTCACTTGAGGTACACATTAATTGGGGTATTCGATCCAATTTCTCTAGCCTTGCCTGCTACCAACGACCTGACATTAACAGTCACTTAACACAACTTACCAAGAAATCGATAATATACGTCGCTTGCTACTGTTGTCATCAAACAAACACAGACAGTCGTCTAATCTGACCTGCAGGTTCTTGTCATGGTTTCTCATTGGGAATCCCTCTGCGGGTAGACGAATGGTTCGTAAAGTGCAGAGTTAATTAGTTGCTCCGCACTATTAAAGACACAGAACTCCGGGTATTCCGATGACAAAGAGATCGACCAAACGAATTCCTGAGTCACGGGGCGGCGGGGGGGGGGGGGGGGGTCACGCAACTAATTGACTCGGCATTTGTTTTGGCTTAGCCTGCAGGACAGCGTGATCGTGATCGCGCTTCGCGCTCGTGTATCGCGTTTCGCTCACCGCCCCGCCAATCCACCTGTTCTGCATGCTAGTTTTGGCCATGCCTTTTGCTGCTTTTGCTGTACGTAATCTGAAGACTGCCATCGCTCACAGAAACGAACGAGGACAGCGAACAACGAGTGTAGAGAAGGGATATACCTTGAGTCGGAAAGGTAATGTAGGTTACGGTAGTCTGATCAAAATTGTAGAATTCTATGTGTATGTACTTTTATGTGTCATCGCTCGTCACGTCACGGAGGAAGAATAAAAACTTGCTAAACAAAGTGAGTTTTAGCAACTCTAAGCGAGGTAGTCGTAGTCTATCATTGATAACAATCAGTATTTTTCTCAAAAGCTTGCTAAGAGATTATTGCCACTGTGATCATACAACAGACAGAAGAATCGATGAGGGACAGAATCACTGTGACAAGGGACCAGGCGTAGTCAGTCGATAAAAATCGATATCGGAAATCAATCGATTTAATTGATGTCAATCGCCGGATATCAATCGCCGGATACTAATCGCCGATTGCTATCGATGATGATGCCTTTTATTACTCCGTCTCGGAACATAGGCCACAGATAAAGCGCCTCCACCCTCCTCTGTCTCTGGCCATCTGTTCATTCTGATTGGATTTGATTGCTATCGATTGAAGAGAAAAAATGTCTCAATCGATAACAATCGATCATTCCTGTCTGCAGTATGTAAAGCCCAAAATGTTTCTGCCAGTTGTTTCCGCTCTAGCCCGGGGGGGGGGGTACTCCCTTATATGGGCTATATAGGTATGTGCGGCGCCAAAGGGTAGGGGTTTTCAGCCGTTTTAGTCATAATAGGGTATCGATTTTAGCCTATTTTGAGGGCCATTTTGGTCATAAATAGGGTATGGTTTTTGCACTCCAGCCTTGATATGGGTGTGTTTTTAAAAAGAAGCCACTTTTTCATCATTGTCGGAAAGAAAATTAACAAAAGCCCTTCACAAATTATGTTAACGGTAATTTAACCTTCGTCTGAACTAGGGAACTTATTATAACGCAAGTCTCAAACAGGGTTTTGATTTAATGGTCAGGGGCCCGTTTCTCGAAAGCCCCGGAAACTTTTCGGGCCCGTAAAGCGATTTTTAGTTCATCTATATCTAAAAACGAAGAGGTGTATACGCCTGAAAATTCTTGTATGAAGGGAACACCTGTTCATATTAAGAATACGTGAATAAAACAGCTCTGTAATCGTAAGGTTCGAGATTTTACTATGGCTTTCCAGGTGCGTAAACTTTTCGGGACCTTCGAGAAACGGGCCCCCGGGTCACAAATAGGGTTTCAAATATTTGGTCAGGTCATAAATAGGGTAGGGAATATCGCAGATTTTGGTCATAAATAGGGCATGGGTTTTGGGAAGCGGGCCGCACACCCCACCCAACTTTTCTAGGAGTACCCCCCCCCCGGGCGCTTTAGTCTTGTTATTTTGTCAATGATTGTTAAAGTGCACCCAACCCCCAAATTTTTTTTTTCGCTAAAACGAATCCACTCACTGTTTAAACTTATTCTGCGAAAAAAATTTTGAATTTGGTTGAATCCTCAATTTTCTATGGCCCGCCAAAGTCGTGCTCGAGATGTTTCACGACCGCGTTTTAGGGAGTCTGGGTCGAGCAAGGTTGTGACGTCTACCCAGG